GGTCCGTTCTAGTCTTGGTATTGCGTGAAAAGTTCATTAGGATTTAAACTTACTTTCTTCCCATTTTAAGTACGATAGATCACAGTTAAACACCAGATGATTTCAAGTGGTGTCCCTCAAATACCTGGAAGACGTGCTTCAGAGTTCAGGCTTCAACTGTCGCCTAGTTCCTTTTGTGATAGAGGCATCACACCTACAATTTTTTTCACTGTCACCAATACATATTTACAACATAATACTTTTCTTAGTAGAACCTTCTTCTCTGAAGCACCTCCTAATAACAGCGCCAGTCAGTTGGCGCTCCTTAAATACCTTGAAGCATTTTACCAACACATACTTACCCTCCGGCATTTTGAATAGAAGCTACTTTTCCGGAGGGAAATCTAGTAAAACACCGTCCAAGTCGCGCCCTTTGAATTCCTTGAAGAAGTATCTTCTCGTTCAGGCTTCAAGTTTCTCCTAATTCCTGCAATAATGGTGGAACCACTGTTACTATTTTTTGAGTGTCACCAACATGTTTGCTGCATTTTACTTATCTTGGCAGTACCTTCCTCGCTGATTTAGTTCATGATAAAAGGCCCCATTCAAGTGGTTCCCCTTAAATCCCTTCAAGTAGTACGTCAGTGGTTGTGCCGCGCCGCGCGTCCTGAGGAATGCGGTCCGGCGCTGCTGCATTCCAGCTACGACACAGCCTCCTTTGACTCGCTGCTGGCTCGATGCCTGCCGTACACTCACGGTACGACCGAAGCGCGGCGACGTTGTCAAACTTACACAAAGGTCTATGGAGAAAAATATTGTTCTTTAAATACTCGTATGCGTCTGACTTGTTTTAAACGCCAGGATTTCGTAAACATTCACACTGGAAATCTACAGAACACAATTTTCATGATAAAGCATACTCAAAGAGTGCTAGTATGCTATAATGGATATGAATAGCTTAGAAAGACCTTGTTAATATCAGAAAAGCTGAGAAAGTCCTACTCTGGTGGATAGTTCCATGATATCTATAGACTATATCCATATCTTAAGAGCAAATGAAGGGTGGTACTTGTTATGATTCTCGATATATTGAACCGCATCAAATAAGAATGAGAGCCCGATGCTTAAAGGCTATAATGCATTGGTGGTGACTCATATGAGCAACTCTTGTTAGTATATCTGTAGTTAGAGGCCGAAGTGTCGCCGAAAACTTGGTCTGCCTTCCTCTAAATCGCAGTATGGTCGATCTAGTCATGATTGCAGCTCTCCATACATATTCTATGGCAAGCCTGTATAGATTCCTTAAATTCCTTAAAACGGGCGAATTATTAAAAAAGTGTTTTTATAAAATAAAAAAAATGATTTTTTTGTGTCATCAAACTTTTTCTGGGTGGCTGTCCGCCGATCTGAAGCTCGTCTCAACCAAGCCAAGCCACCTCATGGTGCAATAAATAAGTAGGTTCAGGTTGTTCCATAAACTATTTAATATTGTAATCCCAGATGTTTTTACGTTCAAATTTTACATTCTTAAAAGACGCCGGCAGCATCTTGCTCGAATTAATCGACATTCAGTGCCTACACTACCTGTTAAGACACAGAACTCATTTTTCTAATGTTAACAAAAATACCCAGGGAGAATATTGCCAATTTACATCTTTTTTCCACAGCAAACAAGTGGAAAATCATAGGTAGAACTTTTTCCGCATATGCTACGCTCTACACCTCAAAAAATACTGACAAAAGTGACAAATGGCATTGACAGGTGCCCGAGCTAGAGATGTTGCAGAGGTAAGTATAGTAATCATCTGGTGGCGAATTGATGAGTTAAAACAGGATGATGCAATAAATTTTGAAGATTAAAAGATTAGTGAAAAAGGCAATCCGTGTTTATCGAGAAATAAAGATAGGTATCTGAGAGCCTCAACGACTTTTTTGCGTAGATTAAAATAATGAAATTGGTGAAAAAATATGAATCTCTAAAATATGGTCTATATTTTCAATCCTGGTTGGGTAAACGAACAAAATATATGTTACTTTAAAGTTTAGTTAGATGTTCAGGATTGGGGTTTCTTATACGTTCTCTAATATTTCTAACTTTTTAAGAAGTTGAATTCTAAAAAATTTAGCCATGTCTTCTAAAATTCATAAGCAAACGTATTAAAGATGTTTGTTTTATGTGGTGTCAGGATGTTCTTAAAACCGTCGCACTAAGGACATCTTAAAGACGTCCTTTCAATGTCTCAGACCTTCAGACATTATTAGTGCATAAAATGGAATGGAAATGTTATCTGGGAAGTTCGTCCAGTCGTAATGATTGCCGCCCTCGAGGTGGCGACCAAGATATATGACTAAAAAAATGAATGTGGCTAAAAATGACGCCGATTTGGCAACGTTGCAGGCGATAGGAATCGAGAAGGCGCGCGCGCGGCCCGAAATTATTGCGGGAAATGGAATTTTGATGTAGTTTTTATTATAACGTGCGGCTTCGGCTGCGGACGGCCGGTTGGCGCGGCATAGCGTGGCGTGGCCAACTCGGATGCCTCGGACCAGAGGACGCGGACGGGTCATGGACACGCCACCGACACGCGAACCCATCAATTGGGAGATTTTTTCATTGCTCTGTTCAAAGGCCCATATGTAGCACAGCCTTCACTTCTTTTATATACGACCCAACTTAGCACTGGAACTCTATACTACTGAATTCGATCTTTCGTTTTTCACAATACATTTTTACTTTCGTTGACGATAGCTAGGTGTTTCTATCGCTATGGCTATGTTCGGCTAACTCATTACGAATTTAGCATGTTAGACCTGTGGGCACCAAATGACCAATGAGCGCAAATTGTCATGTTCTGTGATTAGCGTGGTTTAAAATAATTAAGGTTTACATCCGAATAATTTAAAGTTTCTCATTAATTTTTGCGATACATGCAATTCAAATTCTGGAAGCGGAGGAGGAAGATAGTTTCAACCAGAGAGGAAAACTTAGAAAGAGGGTCCAGTGATCCTTTTTCCATTGAAGATGCGCGGTTTGTGCTACTATTTGATTTAAACTAGGAACTGGTGTATTATGTATTAAATAGTAGTCTTAAAAAATTGTAGAATACCAACAACCTTATTTTTCTGATTATATTATCATATGATAGCTTGCAGCAGTAGTCAAGCTCCGTCGACTCCATACAACAATCAACACTTTTGAATGAAGACCTGGACCGGAAGTCTAACTCGCGCCACCATTGTTACGGTATTCTACCGGGATGACAGCACTAAGCTCCTCATGACTGCATGTTCAACCCCAAAACCCGGTGGAATGGCTACCCTAATCGACATATGCAATCCTGCATTCAAAGTCATGCTTGTTAAACTTGAACGTCCAATAATCCCAAACCAGAAGAGAGGTTCGGGTCACTACACTTCACAGTGTTCCCCATTCATATGTTCCTTGGAGGTTCCTAAAAAACCATTTTTAACCACTAAAAAATGATAGAATTTGCCTCCTGGTACATTTCGGCTCTAAGGGTTTATCAATAGCATATTTTGAAACAGGGTTACTCGTTACGATACAAAACTTTTGTTTTGGTCCTGCGCTGGATTGTTTTGTTCGAGGCAGTATGATCCAAGTTTCTCCAAGATCCTGTCACTAATTAATCTTACTCGGTCCCTTATAGGTATATCCACTTAAAGCTTGCGGAGGCTGTAGGTCAGTCTGCCGAAGTTTCAGCGTGCCTAGCCCATACAGAGCAACGGTTCCAAGCTTGACAGAAAGAGAATGTAAAGTTATGATTGGGTCTCAAGTTTAGCCTCATAATGCCACCGTTGGCCCTTTTCAGTTAACGTTTATAATAACGAATACAGGTCCTGATAAAGAGTGTGATGTAACGTGCAGATATTGCAGTGCTAGATTCTGCGAGACTGAACGTTAAACACTCCGAAGCTTGTAAAGGAAGTAAGGTACTTTGCGGTGGTGATACTGCTAGACCCCCACTCACTTCTCAAGATAATCATTTCAGGCTAGTGTAGGAGACAAGGTAATCTGTTGCAGTCCGAGTACTTTTTAGGCTCCAATGACCCCTGTCCTGTACACTCTTCCAAAAATCTATTTATTCAATCTCCATTATTTTCTGGCTGCCAAATGGAACCATATATAGTTGTATTGACTGTTTCGGCTATCTCACTGATTTTTTCGAAGTTTAAATAAAAAATGGCGTCAAGTAGGTTGATTCTGCACTTCCTACACAACACAGTCATAAGTGCACAAAGGATTATGTACGGCACGAGTTGGCCCTTCTGAGAAAGAGAGTTAGTTATGACGACGTATAAGAAAAGAAAACTAAACGGGTTAGTCAAACAGATTCGTACAATCAAAATTTGCATATTTACCACGTTTGCTATTACAATTTTGTGTCTGTTGATAAAATATGCTCTTCCTCTTGCTGTTCAAAAAGTTTTGGAGGCAATTACCCTTTCACACAAAAGATCTCTTGTCGATGGATGGCCCACCCCCTTCCCCTGAGAAAAATTCCTGCGACCGGATATTATCGAAGCTATGTGTACATCAGGCGTAGATGACGATCGGTTCACATCCAGTCGAGCAGCGGAGGCCGACTACCACACATATGCATCGGCAGGACCGCGAAGCGTATGACCGACTCGCGAGGGTCGGAACTACTTCTCCACCATTGTTTTAAATATAAATGTACGGGGAAATCTATGACGAGTTAAATATGTTTAAAAGGGGAATAGAATTACTACGAATTGAGGCGTATAGGTGCACCACTGTGAAAAAATTGGGATAAGGCTGTTATTGGAACCTTTGCCTCAAGTAAAGATAAATTGTCATGTTTCTGTACTTTAAAAAGCCACCGAGGTTACCGAAACACTCAATACACATATGTGGTTTGGTGGCTAGAAAAACATATATGTATATCATCATGAAAACCATAGAATAAGTCTCAGGTGTAACATTAGTGATTCACGTTTCCACATGACTACTGTGTTTGACATCGGTTTTATATTTGCAGACGGTGAGTACCTGTTCGCCGATCCGGATAGCAAGCTGTCAAAATACGCACCAAAGAACTGGCGCAGCTCGCACAGCCATGGACTGGATGCGAATGGCCGACCGGCACTGGCCTTCTACTTCCGGGTGCAGTTCTACGTGGACAGCCCTCTGCTGCTGCGGGACGAGACCACCAGGAACCACTACTACCTGCAGCTGCGGCTCAACGCGGCCACTGGGGTCGCTGGAGATAGGACAGCGCACCTGGCGGGATTGGCTCTACAGACTGACCTTGGCGACCACTCCGAGAATACCAGCTACAGGTTTGTACACATTCTTGACCATCTATAAAGTATCCCTTGTTCTATGACAAATGTTTTCGAAGTCAAAAGATACTTCTCTAAAGGTCCACGCGAGAAAGGTCATCACAATTTTTACAAGCAAAATTTGATCTCATCTTGAACATAGCTGTCCAGTGGAAGGAGCCACAAACAATAGAACTGGACAGTAGTGGAAAAACTTCTGATAAACAAATATCTTAAAAACTGAAGCGCTTCACATGTGCCGGAGGATTGCAAGCGGCTACTGGTCAGCATTGGGCAATAGGTGTGTTATTCCAACGACTGGGTGCACAAACGCATTTGCTATGTACAGGAAGTCCATTTGTTTATTTCAGTAAACGGAAAATGTGTATTGTATCAAAAATAGATCGGCAGTAATTGGTTGAGCCTTTTGGTAATTCAGTTCAAAAGCCTTGGAAGGTATTAAGCCAGCAACTCGACAAAGTCTTATGGCACGTTTAAATACTTATCTAATATAAAGGGTGCCTGATTTTAATCTACCCACCTGAATATTTTGAAAACTGCACATTCCAAAAAAGATTCAAACAAATGATTCTGACAATGACCATGACTACTGTCTTCAGGGTTATTTCACGGTCATGCGAATATTTTTTTCACATCGGAATTGGGCAGAGGAAATTTTTACGCCCGAATATCACCTTGGCCTTGGCCATTTCAAGGTGAAATCAAGTCTTTCAAAACAGTTTGGTCTAGCAAAAATGTTCGACAGAACAGCTGTGAGGATTGTAGAGATCACCCAGAGATGGTCTTCACCATAACCTTCTAGGTCAAGTCGAAATTTCCAAAGAAAACCCCTCTTTTTATTAAAGTAATTTTTGTGTTTATTTTTTAGACCAGAGGACTACGTTCCTCCAAACATGCGTGGACCGGCGGCTCTCAGGGTCATCGAGGCTGCGCACAGGACACACAGGGGCCTTTCGAAGAACGAAGCGAGGACTAGATTCATAGCAGAAGCATGTCAGTTGCAGGAACCTGTCAATGCTCACGTTTTTAGGTAATTTTCATTGAATAACTTGCGATTATGTACGCAAAGTTCATCTGTGCGCTTGTCCATAAGACAATGAGATTTAAGAGTAAAAGAGCAGACCAATTTGAAATGTCATTACATATATAGTTATGATGACGTCACTCCTGTTGTCTGTCATCACCGAAAGTCATCACTGACTTCAAGCATCGTTCATGATGGGTGAAAGATTCTAGCGTATCCAAATACCGCCGGAAGGCTGCTAGAAATAATAAAATCGATACAAATCTGGTTCAGAAATAAGACCACTGAAGAACGAAATAGTAAAATGAGTGGATTTTTTATATGTCATGGGTACTCGGAGTATGAACGTGCAGTGATCCTTCTTTGGCGATCTCTTATTGTTTTATTTTCATATTTTACATAGGTATACCCGGTGTCCTAGAAGTCGATATCAAGCTGGAAACGGGGGATAGGCCGAAATAATAGTTACCAGAAAAATATAAAAAAGTCTTGTTCTGTTCAAATGATAGGCTTTTAAAAACATCAGAAAATCTACCAATCTTCAGCCTGTGATATTTTAGTTCCCATTACTACAAATTTCAGTTTGACGGACAGTATCATTCTACGTAGTGACATCAAGACATATTGTAACCCCAGTCTTATTAATTCAAGGACGTCCTACTACAAGCTGTCGAAGAAGACCGAGTACTTCAGTACGTCAAATAGAAAAAAGCACGAGAGTGCCCATAAGTACAGCCCACCGAATCTTGCGAAAGAACAAGTTTCACCCGTACCACGTACATCAAGTACAATCTCTACAATCGCGGGATTATCTTCCAAGAGTCGAGTTTTGTGGAACAATGTTAACGAGACACCGGGAAGATCCGCGACTTTCAAAAAAATTTATGTGGACTGATGAGTCGACATTTAAAAAAGATGGTAGCATGAATCTGTACAACTTATACGAGTAGTAGAGAATCCACATTTGATGAGACAAGATAGATCACAGTATCGTAAAGTAAACATGGGATTCTAGAACATGTGCATAGGGCGGTCTGGTACAATTTCGTAGCCAGCTCGTTCATCTCACTCAACTTCATTCGATTTTTTTACTAATAGAAAGCTAATAGAAAATTTAGCTGAGCTACGGGACATAATAACGGAAGCAGCTGAATTTGTTATTTTTAATTTAGGCAGCAGCGGTGGCCGCAGTGGTAGACTCTTCGGTTTCCTGATCAGTCGCCGTGCGCTGCGCGGGTCGAATCCCGTCCCAAAAGAAATTTTTATCTTAGCTGTGGATGTTGTGATTGTCCGTAGGAGGTAGATGGTCTCTGACTGTCGAACGTGGAGGTAACACCCCGCGGATCTCGTAGGCGAGGATTCGCCCGTCTGATAATCCGATCACTTTTAAGATGTCAAGTTTGCATGCTGACGGAAGGCAGTTTGAACATTTATTGTGAATCTAATAAATACAGTTACGAATTAATGAAACTGACGTTACTATCTGTCTTGCTGTCACTACGTAGAATGTCACTGAAATTTGCTGTAATGAGAGCTAAAAGGTCATCACAGGGTCTAGATTCTTCCGATTTTGTTTAAAGGCTATAATTTACGGGGCTTAGATTATTTTTATATTTTTCTGATAACTATTAAGTATGACTTGGCCCATCCCAAGTTGTCGCATTTTCCATATCGTCTACAGTTCAAAATAACCAACAAACTTAATAGACCTTCCTCTAACGAAATCTTGGACCACCATGTATAAGAGAGTAATTTTACACTATGGTATGATTTCATCAACGATACATTCCAAACGCCTTATATGACTTATACAATCTTCGGCTTAACGGTAAACCTAATATCAGCACGTGAAGAATTCCAGCTTAGCATTCCTACCGAAAATTATATAGCGGCATATGCCAATGTGTATCATGATTAGGTCTTAAGTAGAATGGTAGTACGGCACGTCGACATTTCACTATCATACCAACGAAAATAACTTACAATTTACCTGGGCGTCCATTCGACCGTTACAAGATTTATATGTGTAAAATACACACCGAGAAAATTAAAAGCTCGGTAGCTTATTGGATTTACTCTTGCAGCGTTTTTGATAATAATGGGGAAAATATTCCACGAGGTTTCGTCCTTCCGACGATAGAAAAACTGTTTTGAGCCTAAGGTACGGAAGAAACAAAGTATTAAGAAATAATCATTATTACCAACAACTGCATAGGTACGTGTGGAGCTCCGAATCTGTAAACTGTGTTCAGCTGGAACGCAAGACTTCAATCTTTGTTCAATATTCTGTCTAACTCTTAACTATTTCATGACCACTTCTTAGTGAGATTTCAGATATTCTTCCTTTATTGCCAGTCTGAGGACAGAAATTGCTTAGTATCCCTCTGATGTTAGTGTTTTCACTTCGGAATGGGGGTAAATAAGTTGTGAACGTAGAAACCATTATTAAGTCATTCTAAAAATCGTGTCCGCGTCTGAAGATTTCAAAGGTCAAAGATCACAATAATCGGTCTTCTGCAAAGATCTCGCTTGCTATGAGCTTAATTGACATTCATTATAAATACAGTAGACAAAATTCTCTACAACTTTTAAACATTTTTTTCATACAATTAACCATAGAGGGCGGACAGCGCACAGCATAATGCAATGTCAACTATTAGTCCCGATAAATAGTACGCCATTTTAAGTTATACAGCATTAAAAAAATTACAGTTATGTACAACTAGCTTTTTTGTTAACTACGCATTATGTTTTTGATATTTTTCATTAATCAAATATATCTTTATATAAAATATATGCTTGCTTAATTGTATAAACACAGCACGATTCTGTGCTCAAAGCTAAAAAAAAAAATCGCAGTACTGAAACGAAGAATTGTGCCAACCGAAAAGTCATAAATATATCTATGTTGTTGAGGCCTGTAGTATTTGTGTTACATATCTACCGTGTAATCCCCTATTTTTTTGCAAAGCTATACCCTAGATATCTATTTCTATAGGGCCTCTACCATATATGAGTTTTTTGGTGGCACACCTTTCTGTTTGGGTTTTGCCATTTTTCTTTAGATTGTTACTAGTCAAGAATCACATTATAGTCTCTTGATTTGTTTGCAAAGCGATACCCTAGATACGAACTACTGTAGGTCCTCTACAACATATATTATGGCATTGTTTAATTAAAGGTTGACCTTGAATTATGTTGTATGTTAAATAGCTAAGCGCGGCGCGCTCCCCGCACTTACCTGAAAAACGGTTTATTGATTGAAAAAATATGTGTACAAAAGTTATAGAAATTTTCATCGTCTGCAATATTTATAATAAATGCAAAATAACATTAAGGCCATAGGAAGCGTTATCTTTTCAAAAAAAAAATGATGTGACCTTTGATATCGACAGAAGATTTTATGAGTCTGTTGCGACAACTTTTAGAATTAAGATGTTGTTTTTGGGACCCTATGAAGTGTTTTGTTTCACAATCATCCACATTATCATCAAATGTCAAACAACTTTAGGAATGGCAAAATAAAGGCGTCTACAAGTTCAGCTTAAAATCTGATTCCGCGGCTGAGCCTCTTCTATAGCTTGTAAAATTAGAATATAGTCTATATAACTATTTCTATACAAGAATATAAACTCTCCAACAGCCATGCTAAAGTTGCTGATTGTAACTTTAGGAATAAGTAGTTTGAGTCTGGCTGTCGATGTCGAGGAGACTGAAGGTCAAATCGAAGCATTGTGTGGCATTCAGGGATCATTTGGTTTTGGAAATGCCTCAGAATAGCTGGACGCAACAGGCTGTTACTGGCCTGATCTGAAGGCTAGTTTTCAATAAACGTCAGATATATATTGGCCTAGTATCATACAAATGGGCGCCTTGGTTTTGATTATACTTGTGGATACCTGGAAGCAACAAATAACAACTGGCCTAGAATAGGACGAAGAAATTCTCGGATTCTAGTCTCTAGAGAAATATAGCCAATCAGTTTCTGTATTAATTTCATCAATTGTTTTTTTTTTTGGCAAATCTTTAGTACTGAAACAGGGAGAAATTATCTCTAAAGCTTACTTTTCGCAGTGTACATACACGTTTCAGCAAAGCTCCGAGTGATTCATTATTTTGGTATGATAGGCGACTATAGAGATATACTTGCATTTTATGTTGCTACCTACACTCACCTATGTTATAATGCATATCTACCTTGCGCAAATGGTAAACTTAAAATATAGACATTTTATTTGTTTTTTATTTTTCGGCATGTAGTGTTACTTCGATTGTCGTAAATCCTCTAAAGGCAGCATGGCTCATGTATCCTGTCACAAATACAAGGGAATTATGTTTATGTAACTTAAATCCCACCACAGATGTTGGCTGTTATACACCTAGAATTATTGTGTAGATTTTGGTTAGGACAAAAAACGCCTTGAACGCACTTGCGAGAGAATCGCAAATCTTCAGGTTACAAATCTAGTGTGTTCTTCATCTCAACCAGTCGCGGGGGATTGCATCGGTTAGGGTTCTCATATCAACTATTGAGATGCCAGGAATAGTGATTTTGCCGGTCGAATGGAAAAACAAAAAAATGTAACATTTTTAAACGGAATGAGGGATCATGTGATAGCATCTTTTGAAGCTTCTTATTAATAATTTATAACCCCGGAATATCATCATCTCTCAAAATGATGGACTACCAGGCTCTCAAAGTTGTGCGTCCTTGTACATCGAATCGCCAATAACTCGATAATTACCATCAAAACGTTATAGGATCATGTTATAGCAATATTTTTCTTCTGGTTGTACAATAAAATATGGGACAGATTTAAAAAAACGACTGATTTTGAAAATTTTCTTAAGTGCAATGTTCTCTATTTTATTACATTTCCGGATAGACCATTCCAAGCACAGAAAATTTATTTAACTTATGGTGCTTTGATGATTGGTTGTTGAGTTATGAACGACCTAATGAACAAAAACGTTTAAATTCGACAGCTTGCCAGCTCGCGACTTTGGAAGATAGAGACTTCAGATTCCAAAGTCATATAGTATTCATAAATAGCTTTAAAATGATGCCGCACATGACCCCTACTTCATTTAAAAAAACGTTTCAAAATGGCGCCCAGTCATGGCATGCTGAAATATAATATTCATGCCTTCATTACCCCGAATTTGAGCTTGCTAACCTCTCCCGTAAAAGAATAATAGGTAGGGGGGGGGGATTGTTTTGAAAAACAGTACCCAGTATACAGTAGCATTTTGATTTTCAATCCACGACAGCTACTTCTTGTGTTAAATTGGCTGGAATTTTAGTACATTCATTTATAGGCTTCATGAGCAAAAGACTCATCTACTGGATGTTGGTCTGTATTTAGCTGCGGGTTTTGATTTTCTTAAAAAATAGAGAAGTGGAAATGACGCTTTATAAATGGTCTGAAATTGTAGTATCTGGCCTTCTGTATTATCCCGAGAAGAAGTGTAAATGCCCGACATACCTGTAATAAATTCACAAGTTTCGAATTTGCAAGGAGTATCTCCACAGCTACATAATATCTTATGTGTCGAATTTAAATGTAACTACCACCCATCCACTGAACGCTAGCTCAATGCTCGGCCACGTTTTCTATACCAAATTCCAAAGTAGATCGAATAAATATTCTTCATATGTATAAAAAGTTAACATCTAAGTATACGTATACGTACTGTATATGATATAGATTTTGTATTGTACTACCGCTGCTTGGAAACAGAACCCAGTTAGGCTACACTTATCATATTCGCTACTAACAATACAGTCACCATAACAGTGGGTTCTTATAGGATGTTATATAAAATACTAAAATGTTGCTAAACAATGACCAGCAGTTAGCAGATGGGTTGCAGTTCGATATAAAAACCAAGATTCTGTAACTCGTGCACCGCTGACACTAAAGTTTGCCACATATCTAATTTTTGTTCAAAATAAGACAGAATAATTTGACAGGAAAAAAGTATTCTCGTTCATTGTTTTAAATATAAAAATTTGGCTAAAAATAGGCCAACATCCAGTAAATGAATCTAAGTAGCATTAAAGTATCTATTACGTTTCCAACTAACCAACGCGCAAAGACACCATACGGTCGATCTGACGTCTTTCGCTGAACCATTCCTGAAATTTTGCTATGATTTTGCATTATGCAACTCTGAAACCATTGATCAGAGTTTTCTGCTCATGGGAGTTTTGATCAAAATGCAAAATGACATACTAAAATCCTAGCCAATCTGAAGAGCAACCTTCTTCCAGCAATATTTCGATGACTTATGCATCCTGTAACTCAGAAACCGTTGCTACTCGAACCTTCTGCCCATAAACACGTTTGATCAAGATGGTTTGGATGATATCATACTAAAATATCAGCCAGTTTAGCAGGAATTTATTTATCGTGAGGATTTCAATTAATCATTTTCGACCATCAATACATTACATTACATTATATTACATTACGTTACGTTACGTTACGTTACGTTACGTTACGTTACGTTACGTTACGTTACGTTACGTTACGTTACGTTACGTTACGTTACATTACATTACAGTACATTACATAACATTACATTACATTCAGTAGATGGGTCAAATCGGCATTCTAAGAGCTACTAGGTTTCTCTTCATTGAGCAAATAAATCATAAAACCATGATGCTGCAACTCGAAAACTGTTAATATTAAAATAATAGTGCAATGTAAGTTTTTGACCAAATTGCTATGAACAACATACTAAAATTTCAGCCTATTTGACTACAAGAAATCTTCATTGCACTATAAGCATCTAAAGGCATTTTGAGATATCTGGCTGTATTGGAGCAAATGATTCGATTTCCAGTTGTCTTCAGTTGTCGTTACCATCAAGTAGCAATACTTTTCTCTTTATAACTGACATGAGACAAGAATGTACGTTGAGTGATATCCACGTCGACTGTGATAAAGGTACTAATTTTGACTTCCTGATAGACGGAATGTGTGATATCAGATCCGCAATTTTCTGTAATTTTGATCTAGGCAATAATGATGACAGACAGGGACGAGTGAAGTAGTTAGTTCAAAAAATTCCCCAAATAGCGGATCAACGTTTCGTCTAATGGTCGAGGCAAATTAAGCATTCGTGACTGGATTTCGTCAGCAGTAACCAGCCACTTATTTATGTCTCATTTAAATTCTCTACAGGTCATTTTTATTATTTGCCAGTACAAAAAAATATCCTGCACCGTTCGTACCGGAACTTTGATGTCACTATACCACGGTATCCTTTCATTGTATGCTACGAATGTTCACGACACATTCGGTATATGTCGAGGAATTAATGGAATGAATTCCAAAATGTTTGTTACGGAGTTTTGGAGCTCCGACTATATACAATTGACAACATCGAAGCGCTGTTTAAAATAAAAATTGGCACCAATTCCAAAATATATATCACGAAAGCATGCTGTCGTATTATGCAAAGTTCCATTATATGGCATCCCAAAGAAGCTTTGCAGATGGCTGGCTGACTTCCTCTCGGGCTGCAAGATATCTGTCGTAATTGACGGGTTCTCCTCTTCATCTCACAACGTCAACGCGGGTGTTCTCCAGGGATTGGCCTTGGCTACAACATTGTTCCTTCCTGTAGATATCAACGAACTCCGTTCCTGTACGGTCAATCCAGTTCACATCTTTGCTGATGTCAGCACTCTCCATAGGAATAGGAATAGGAGTGACAAGCTGATCTCTGCCGGTGAGCTGGAGAAAAGAAGACTAGCAGGAACCTCCTCTCTGACGAGAGACCTGGAGGTTATTGCTGCTTGGGGACGCAACAGTCTGGTACAGTTTAATGCTTCCAAAACACAGCACTGTACCTTGATGAACAAGAAACGTCCTAGTGCTCATCTGGTTTCCGTGGATGGCCGAGTTCTACCAAAGAGCCATTCATTTTGGCTGGTCGTAGTCCATCCAGTTGATCGATGACTTGTTCTAGCACGAACACATCTGGTCAAGAGCGGCAGCTGCTCGGGTTAAGATGTACTTTTCACCACACGACCTCCTCACTCCGTATGAGGGCCAGATAAGGCCTAGCCTCGAGTACTGCTCACATGTTTAGGGTGTTGCCACCCCGACTACATTATCCATGCTCGATTCTGTTCAGAGAAGGGCTGACCGACTGACAGATGAGTCTTCTGTAACGGATAGTCTCGGGACCCTACTGTGTTGAACTTCGTAAATCCAGAACTGGCCGCTATGACTGCTCCTTTGTTCTAGGGTATCAAAATTGAGGAACAATCTACATAAGGAGGCTTTTCACTGTTCTAATAAGCTTGGGCAGTTCAGAAATCGTATTAACTGAGTGTCTTTAAGCCTCTCAAAGCAGCCGCGGTGTCGTGGCTGCTTCTGTGTAAAAACATAAGAAGCAATGACAGGTGCCTTAATACCATATCTATTGTTTTTTAGCAACACGATAGTAATGTTTAGGTTATAAAATGCAACTATCCGCTCTTTCAGGTTAAGAGCTTCAAAAACTGAATCTGCTCCTGGCTCCTTGGTATTGGCAGTTTGTCCTCGAGGCATCAAAGTGTGCCCTGAAAACAATCCGCCATCCATATTTCTGTGGAGCAGCATTGGAAAGCTGAGCTTTGAAAGAAAGAAGTTCGAAATTCGGACCAGTCATGAAAAACTCACATTGTATACAAGCAGGTAAGGCTACAAATATTCAAGTGAAATCGTCTAAAATCACTCTATCTTTGATGTCCAGGGAAGCGAAGTTGACCTTCCAAGGCCAATGCATGTCATCTTACCGGTCCAAAAAAAAAACAACTAACGTTAACTTATTATTCGTCTTAAAAGTTTTAAAACATTATCTGCATTGGGTTCTAAAAGCACTTGAAAAAACGTGGGATGTTAATATTGACTCAAGCTACAATTTTAAATAATAAGCTAACATGCAGCAGGTTTTAAGAAAATGTAGAAATGTACCCTAAATATATTGGTAGCACGTTACGTTTTCTGACCGCACATCTAACCACCCTACTTTGTGCAGAACATAAGCGATTTTTGTGTATTTTGCGCTAAACAAGTTTCAGTGAACCTATTTGCGATTCTTTAGTACCTCTGGAAAGATTTTGTTTCCGTAAATGACATTTTTTCATATTATAGTGACGAGAAAAGCAGACTCATGCTTGCATTGTGCAAAGCTGCTCACCAATTTAGCATGGCTGTCGCTCCAAGGCTGAATGAAGTGAAGAAGGAAGAAGAGGAGAGGAGAAGATGGGACTGCGATCAAAGGGTGTCAGTTATCAGCTCAACTTCGTCGAATACAACATCCGGAATTGTTAGTGATCGGGTAAGTACGAACATTGAGAAACCACAGTTCATCGATTCAATATCTGGAAACGTCATTCTTTTTTTTGTTACCTGATCATCACATGCATACACATATAATCGGATGGCTAACCCATTGGGATGTGTTAGAGTGTTCTGTCGCTGAGTAATTTCTGGACCTTGGTCCGAAACCATTGAAGACTGACAACTCTACTGTAGCTCGCTGTGCCCTATATCTAGACTCTATATTAAATACATATTGTTACAGTTTTGTTATCCAGTTTTGATCCTATCAATATGTGACGACTTGATAGAAAATACGATCCCAATTAAACATTAGCAGAATCTTCAGTATAGGATTGCATTCAAAGCAGAGGGACGTGCCTTTCACAATTTTGTTTGTTTACCTCAGACACAACAAAGTATACGAGACTCTGATTCATAGTGGATCGTAACATAGTAGTTCAGTTAGTGACACACGTTTAAGATACGTTCACATAAATCTATAATATCTACAGCCCTTGTTTGGTACATAAAGATCACTTCACATTAAGCAAAATGGGTACATTTGCAATAATGGTTAATATGAAAGATTTGCAGAAAAGGTCACGAATCCACATCAAGGTGAAGGATTCACTTGAACGGGCAAACATCGGAAAATTACAAGGTTGCGGACAAAATCTACATCTACGAGCCCCTTCCCACTTCAGTTGTTTTACGTGAGAGCAAATATGCAATTTTGGGACTTTAATAGCAAAAACCTCAAAAACCTCATCGAATCCCTGCAGACCTTTCATAGATCTCGTTGGTATACTATCCCCTTCCCACTTCAGTTGACCCAACTATTGAAATCTTAGTTTTTTCCTTATCAAACACAAATAATAAAAATGTAGCAAGGTGTTATAAGTTTAAAATATTAACAATGAATATTTTGATAATATATAGTAGAAAACACCAACTTTATCACTCCCTAATCAAATTTGCAGCATAAAAATAACACATGTTGAAATTACAGAATATCAACCTATTTTCATTTCAATGCAAAGTAAGTCTATAACGCATAGGTGGCTGTGAAAAATAAAAGCCATGACAATTGTTTTTATTAATCACAGCTGACAGAATACGTTTAAAATAGTTTTGGGTCTAAGGTTTTCAAAGTGGGTAGAGAAAAGGTTATTAGTGTGAAAATTCGGTTACTGATAATTAATTTTTTTAATTCTGGGAAATCAAACTCAGAAATTGCAACTTTGTTAGATTTATTGCGGTACAGTGTGAGAAATATTGTTAGAAGATATAATGTAACTGGTTCAGTTAATATTAAGCCACGATGTGTGAAAAAAAGTAGTATCAAATGCCGACCGAAGAGCATTAAGAAGAATAACCGTGAAAAACAGGCCTGTCAATTATTTACAATTAAGTGCTCTGTGGAATGACGCTTTTGGAAGAAGAATTTCGAGGTCCGCAACTCATAGAGAGGCCCACAAACTGGGATTTAGCACTTGCAAGGTAACTTTTCTTATAAAAAAGTGAAGTAAAAACCCTAAAGTTGCACAACTTGTTTATAGGCCAAAGAAAAGCCACTTTTAACTCGACTGCAAAAGAAAAATCGGCTTAGATAGGCTCATGAATATAGACAATGGACACCTCAACAATGGTGTCCAATACAATCGAGTGATGAGGCCCGATTCGAAGTTTGTGTTGTGACAGTCGCAGTAGAGTTATTCGCAAAAAAAATGAAGCATTCCATGTTGACTGTCTGAAGAGAAAAGTGAAATTTCCAGCATCCATTATGCTCTGGGGCAGTATGTCATCAAAATGAGTAGGAAAACTTCATTTTATTGATGGAAATGTGGATACAAACAAATGTTCGGCAATTTTAGAAGAATCGCTTTTACCAGTGATGAAAGAATGTTTGACATCCGGCCAAGATTTTGTGTTTCAGCAAGATGGTGCAGCGTGCCATACCTCAAAAAAGGCTATAAAAGGGATGGAAGAAAATAATGTACCACTTTTGACATGGGTTTCTAGCAGTCCAGATCTGTCACCTATTGAAACTTTGTGGCACGAGATGAAAAAGGTTCCTGCTCGTACAATCACCGAACTGAGACAAAAGCTTATGGGAAATATGGGATTGTTTTACACCAAATTTTTGCCAAAACTTTGTTAACAGTATGCCCCAAAGAATTTCAGCCGTAATGAAAAATAAAGGTGATGTTACCCAATGGTAATCTTTCAATTGTTGCTTTGTTAACTTCGCGCATTTATTCGCACATCGTTTATTTGTTCAGCTGTTCTATTAGTTATAGGTCTAAGTGATTTCAGATATCTATTTTTTATGACTAGAGTGTATCTAAAATGCTTATGAGAAAATAAATTGTTTTAGAAGTAAATAGTTTCGTCATGTTTAGTTTATAAAGGCATATTTTGGTATAAATCTTGAAGTGGGCCAACTGAAGTGGGAAGGGGCTCGTATGTAGAGATGTGGGCACTGCAGTGCTATCTATAATGATTTGACTAGTTGATAGGTAGGGTTCGGGCCAGATCAAAGCATGGCGTTTATCTAGTTTTGTGGCATATTACATTGAGTAAGCATCGGTAAAATCCAAAGTTTTCCAGCCTTGCACTTAGTGACAATCCTTTTTAGTAGTCTAAAGCTATGACGTCGGGTACGACTTAGATCGGTGGGGGTATTATGTAAAAAACCTAAAAAACGTAAAAAACGACTAAGGGCCATATCCTCAGTCGTTCCTACAATTCAAGGACGCCTTTATGGCCACCTTGATTTTCACAGTTTTCTATTGTTCCGTGTCAGGTCTCTATTTTGAGGTTATGTCACAAATACCCATTTGCACCAAATTGTTCGTGCTTCGTGCAAAAAGAAAACATAGCCTCACAATAGGAGAGCGCTGATGCTGATACGAAACAGTAGAGATCTAAAAAAAATCCCAGCCTTTTAGGAGAGAAAAAGGAGAGAAAATACTATGACAATCAAGGAGGCCATAAAAGCGTCCTACAATTATAGGAACGACCATACGGCCCATAATGCCGTCTTGCCTACCAGGTAGTTTTTACTGTGCAAAAAGTTCATTCCACGTTTGCTCGCTATGATCGCTGTTGCCTGACGTTTAAGCAACACGTACAGCTACAAAACAAGTTCACAACAAGTGTAAAACAGCTTGTTCTAAGTTAACATCTTGTAGAAAAATCTTCGGCACAAAAAACTTGGTTAAAATGGTTAAAAAAACGACGAAATGTCACTTTTTAAGATACGTAATACATTTTGATCCAACCAAAATTGGGGATTCAGTATTCCTTTGGTACTAACACGACTTGAGAATAGCTGGATAAAGCAAGTTATAACTGTGCTGAAGGTTAGTTTTATTAGAAGACGTCAGAAAAATATTGAATTAGACGGAAAAGGCGTTCATGAAGCCAAAAAAACGTATGCGCCAGTGATTAATGATTTGGCATTATGAAATTTGTAAGTAGGACTTTATAACTTCTCTTAGGAAATCAAAATCCATGAAGACCTTAAGGAAATTATTGAACAGTCAGTCAGAGTCAGTTTTTGTTTTTTTGTTGCCTCAGATTTAGTCTGATTGTTTCTAAATACGGAGCTTAACACAATAGCCATGACATCGAGCTTCAGCGTCATCTGATTAGTAACCTATCTAATAGGGCGTCTTCAACGGCTTCGCTCTTGTAGCATCCACATAATAAAATCTCATTTGACGTTGGTTCATACGAAATCGGTTGGAATACCAAAAATAGCTCAACTGCAAATCTAAACATAATGGCGAAAAGTAATTCGAATTTCTGTTCCAGGTACATTCCGAAGACGAACTAGAGATAATGATAACATCGCCACCGGCGCCGTCGACGGAGAGCCTGGCGCTGGCGCATCTGCTGGACAGCGCGCCAGCGAGCAGTCGCACCTCAGCAGCATCCGCGGCCGCAGCCTTAGCGAGCCTCACCCTTAGGGAGGAGGAGGAAGAGGAAGAAGGAGTGGTTCGACGAACCCAGAGTGAAAGCAGTTCCGCTAAGACTGCCAATAGCGGAGGTACGTCTACAGGGAAGGGTGGCACAAGCGCTGTTGCTGTTGGAGCCGCTGCTGCGGGATCTCAATGCAGTTCTTCTTGCAGCACAGTTGTTGTGACGCCTATACAGACCAGTAAGTTTCCCGTTAAAAGGATGTTCTCCAGTATTGTTCGCCATTTCTTGTACACATATAAGAAAAGGTAATGAGAGAAAATCACCATCATTCTTCAGAATAGCGTGAAGGCTTTTTACAGATCAATATTGAAGGCAATGGAGTGATTCAAACATTGTCATACTGAAAAATTGTTTGCCCTTTTGATGTCCTTTCCTTTCTGAATTGGAGACAGGCAACTTTTTTTGAAATGGCACCTAACCAAATGAAATGAAGGGAAATAGGCGCTTATACAATAGCCCAAGTGACGGAATTGGGCATCGAATATTGGACGGGTCGGACGGAGAAGTCCTTTCTTTGTCGGCCTGGCGATTAATCCTTGGAATGAAGGAGTAGAATAACTGAGAGAAAATATGCTTGGTTCTTTAAGCTTTCGGGGATCAGTATTCTTTAATTATATATTATAGAATTATACCCGGAATACAAAATCGTATCAAGTGGATTGACACTGCACTTGCACCTACCGCGCAATGCTATCAGCAGTTCATACAGTATCTCATGCTCAGCACAAGTTAGCTCATTTGAGAAAAAAGTTTGCTACTAACAAAAAAATAATAGATCAAGTTAGTCAAACAAGCTCATACAATTAAAGTTTGCTTGATTTCTTGCACAATTTTGAGGATTCTCAATATTTTTATGTGAGAAAAATGTCTGCGGGCGCCCGTGAACGTAGCAACGGCTAACGTCGCTCCCTCTCCATTTGTCATTCACGAGAGTACAGCAGCTACTATCAACAGCTACCGACTGCGGAACATACACCCTTCGGCCGAATCGCAACGCACGTAAATGTGTTTAAAATATCTATCTATCATTCTATGTTTTAAGGACAAATCTACGGGGAAATCTCTGCTGTGTGAAATGTGTTTAATATGTTAGATTTGTAGAGCTACCCTTGTAGTAAGCGTATAAGCATACGTCAAAAAGTTTAGATATACCTTCTCCCATCTCCTGCAGCCACCAACCCTCAGTCTGTAATTACTAGAACATTTTTTCTGAAATTGACCAGGAGCCTATGAAACGTTAAACGGCAGGGGTATTAGGTGAAAAACCTATGCGCTGTCAAAAGAAACCGATAAAATGTCAACTTTTTGACTAAGTAAGTCTAGAGTATAAATTGTTCATTCCGCGCTTGCTACAAGTGAGCATGAAGTGAACGATAGCTAGTTCCAAGTTGACGTCTTGTAGGAAACACACAATGTCATAAAGAACCAACATAATGTCACCTGCGGATCGATTTTCAAAAACTAACAAACTTTTTAGTCCTTGGTACAGTAGTAACCTTGTGTGAAACTTTCATCAAGATCCGAAACGTACTGTTCAAGTTATAGACGGAACAAGGATTAGCAGACAGATCGACATACAGGATAACCTCAGAAATGAGTGACATGATTTTTTGTTATGCACATGTCAAATTCAAACATCATTTTCAACATTTTTCGCGATTAGAATGAAGTACTGAGGACTCGCCGTAATCTATCAGTCTCATATGTATGTCATAAGTTGGTGGTGAAGCATGTAAATGGATGAAGGCCATATGAACACGTTATTTTGATAGATGTTGATGCATTTACAAACGTGTTTCATGAGTGTAAGCAGTTATAGAATCTGGAATCATTCCCCAGGGAGCACTTCGTTCTATTGCGCTCAACAATTGACCCCTGAAGACTTACATAATTATATTGTGCTTGGTGGTTGGCGATGATTGTATATCCTATCACCTGTTTCTAGAACACACGAAGTTGTCATACACTTCACTAGACTAGTTCGACGCTGGATGCTGGAGACGCGACGCTTCTATGGCGTCTCGGTGAAGGAGGGCTCTTAGACTTACTACTTGAAGCTGAATTTTTGCGCCTTTGTCGAAGGTAGATTTCCCAACAGACAGAGTAGTATATCCGAAGCACAGAAAATGCAGACAAGCGAAAATTTCAATGTGATGGTGCGTTAGTTCTGATAATCGGAGAATTTGGATCTTGATATTCTTAGCGCCAAGCAGTCTGAAAAGAAGACCGTCAGACTCGTACAAGTCACTCAAGGAAGAAGGAATAATTTAGATACTTATTACGGATGGGGCTCACTCGCTCTGAGATGCCGTATATGGACACCCACGAGCACATTTTGTTTCAACTAAAAATGTTTCTTTGCAGAAGCGAAAGGCCGTCGCCCATCTACGACGAGCAGTCTAGAACTAGGCTACTCGCACACCGCCCAGAACTCTTCAGTGAGCGACGCCACCTGCATCGAGCTCGACGCCAACGTGTACGCCTCGGGCCCGGCGCTCAGCAGCCACACCAGTGGGGTGTACACGCTCACTTCCAGCGAACAGTACACGCTCAGCTCCAGCGATAATTACGTCACACCTAGTGAACAGTATAGCGCGACTAGCGAATTGTTCTCTTCGTCTGGAGGTGGTGATCACGTCGATGGGCCGTTCAGGGACCGGTCCAACTCCAACATCAGTAGTTCTTCGTTCCATGGAGACGGAAGTGATCCAACGGATAATAAGCAGACATTGCTCTCAGCGGAAGAGCTATCGGATTTGATAGTGGGAAGGTAAGCCAGCGCATATAACAATGAAGCTATTAGCCGAGAAGGTTGCATATGCATATCCTAAAGATTTTTGGACGCTGTAACACAGAGTATTCCTTGACCCGTTGGTTAATCAAGCAAGTCTCATATACCACGAAGCAGACGTCACGTTCACCAGCACTCAGCAGCCAAATCTTAGTGCTGCCTGGTGTATGATTTACTTAAACCGCTGAGTGTCAGTTAAAAATTGTAGGAATTGTGGTGGTAATATACAGACAAACACAATATTGATGGCTCGAAATTAACTACCGATTCGAACCCGCGAGTTATTGAGTAAATGGGCTACCAGCTCGACGCGCTAACCTACACAGCTACCCAGCCCCCTGAATGTCATCTCAATGAATTGAGAAGACACCCTAGGCCTATTCCACATAGCGCTGAGATTCAGCTGCTGAGTACTGGTGAATTCAGCCGTGTTAGTATAGAGTGTGAGAAAGAAGCTAGGACAACAGGAAGAAGAACATGAACATTTTAACACATTCAGTGCGCGTGACGCACCGGTGCGTTTTGCAATATATGAATAGAACATTTTATGACATTTTGTGACACACCAGTGCGTCATGCGCGCACGGGATCAAAGTTGGGTGTAGGGTGCGCATGATGCACCAGTGCGCCACAGAAAAGAAAATACCTGAGGGCAGGTGTTTATTGTATTTTAATTAGGTATCTAGAAGACATACCAGCAATATTTTAATGGTATTATTCCCAAACAAATGCACCGTCCGTCCGTAAAGTTTGTCAACAATGTATTTATTAGCATTGAAAGTGTTAAATCCCAATGTCTTTGACAAGTCACCATTGGGGTGTTCCAAGGGGCATGAGGTTAGCCTCATACTGTTTTTTAGTGGTCGTATTTGAGAAATGGAGTTGTACAAAGTTTTTCTTGAAAACAATTTTGTCCTCCCTCCTAAAAGCTTTTTTCTTATTTTAGGTACCCATCATGTAAAAGTGTTAGCCATACGTTAGACTCCGATTCAGACTATGTAACACTACCGTCATCGTACCAAGGGTATGCTCCTATACCCCCAAAGAGGATAGATAGCGTAGAACAACGGTACAGACCTCCACCTCCACCTTATAAACCACCTGTGGAAAGTGAAGATGGTAGCAGTAGGTCGGCATCTTCGTTACGAAGTCCTCCACCTTATCCTGAGAACCCTACACCGGTATGTATCTGACCTTAAATACAGTGGTTTTAAGAAATATTATTAGCAACGCAACCTATTCCGATAATATTGACTTTGACGTTGATCATCCTGGCCATTGCTTGTACGATCGAGTCGTCCTGTTTCATCAAGTTCCACATGACTTCCAACTAAAATGCAGGAAGACATGGTCAAGTGAGGATCGGGCCAATCATAAATCAACACCATAACTCAAAACAAAATACCTAATTGGTAACTTTGTCAAAAAAAAACGACAAAATGGCAACTTGCTGACTAGGTAGCTGCTAGTGTACAAATAGCTTATTCCGCCATTGCTCGCTGTGAGCGCTGTGAGTGTCACTCATAACATTACCTATGGAGGAATGACATGCTCAACTACCATGCCAGAAGTCATGCCTAAAATCAGTGATACTTGCTGTTACAGAAAATTATTATCGAATATGCAGGCCATGAAGTATATCTATTTCCTTTCTGAGGTGAGATTATGTTTAAAGTTATACCTAACGCTTTACTTTAAAAAACTAATATTTTCACTTACCTTCAAAGCCACATCACAGAAAAATTAAGAATGACGCATCACACACAAAACGTTTTTGCAATGCCTCACATCTAGGCGCTGATTTGTATTTTCTACTTGATATCGCAAAATAAATTGCTATGAAATTTAAATGGAAATGAAAAATTATATAAAATGTAATAACGTTTTCACGTTTCGTAAATATTCCTGTCTGTATCATATTTTCATCAACCAGAGATAATCTTTTTTATCTCTCGCACTTTTGAAATTCAGCAAATTTGAATATGTAACTTCTAGGATGAATAAGAAAAAGTGGATACGCAACTAGTTCTTAGCTTTGCATACTTACATCTCAAATTAGTGTATTTGAGACAAGAAACGGGAATTATCATCAACAAAGAGTATTAGCACAAAAATCCTCACTAAGCACCTAGGCAGTGTGATTTCCTTCCGGCTTAAACCTCCAATAGTGCCATCTCTGAAACATATGTCATATCAGATCAAACCCAAACCATGGTAGCTCAAGCTTCATGACGTTTAGGTAACACGTACAGCTACACAACGAGTGCTCATCAAGTGCATACAGTTAGTTCCAAGATATGTTATGGGAAAACCTACACAATATCACAAAAAACCCATTATGTTACATATTAGTATACATAATACCGCTGCCGATGAAAATATAGACATGATTTCATGGTCATCTCAATCCTTTCGAAATTGCAAGAAGAACAAACCTAGAGTCCCAGCGCCAAGTTAACTAGAAAGCGTTTGATAGAACTTCAGAACTCTCATCATCTGTAGTGGGTTAAAGTAATTTTCTTCGTGATAACCCATCGTAGCTTTTGGGAAGATTTTAAGCATCTCGGAGTTTTTTTTAAATATTTCTTTATTTATTATTTGTGGACAGGTACCACCTCCAGCATATCCCTTCGAAGAGGCTGCAGCTCGATTTATCACAACGCGGTCTCCGAGCGTCCTGACAGCCCATGCAAGTGTAGTAAGCGTCAGTTCCTTGCCTAGCTACTCGTCACCTAGCAGTACTGTACCTCCAATACCTCCAAAAGTTCCTAGGCCTCCACCGCCTTCTAGCAACAGTTATCTAGAAACTCCGGTGAGTATTATACAAAAAATCGATCAGTCTATTCAAAAGGCGTGAATGAAATATAAACCTGAGGACGTATGTCCATTTGAATACGATACAACCTAAAACTCTACAGTTCGACATCTCAAATTATCAAAAATAAGTATTATAAGTTCTGTTTTAATGGCATATCTCACAGGTTGGTTATATCATTGAGATCACACACTTTTAATTAATAAAAAGTCTTTCACTAATGCCATAGATTCAACACTTAAACCCCCTATAACATCCTATAATCCGCAACACCAGACATTTAACCCCTGCAAGTAAAATATCTGAAAACGAGTGGAAGACTCTGGAACAAAACTTGAGCGATTTTTATTTTTCTAGTTTTTTTTATAGTTATGGAACCTTTTTGCCTCTGAAATACAAGTAACCTTGTGTTAAAAGTCCAACAAGATCATCAAGTTACTTTTCAAGTTATAGATTGGCTAAGAACTAACAGACAGTCAGACTGACCAAAATGAGTGACATGGTTTTTCGTGATATACCTGTCATGTAACGTCTAAAAACCATACCTCATTCTCGATTTTTTTTGCGAGTACAAGCACAGCTAACCCTGTTAGTAGTTGGGTAAATGGAGTTCATCCTTCCATCCTACGTAAGGTCACCAGAGGTGAATTCTAAATGCGTTTGCTGTGAATGTGAAAGCGCACAGGTTCAAATCCCAGCAGTGATGAGTTTTCTTTCTACCTCTACATTCTCAGTTTCCTTTTCAAATTGTGTGGTAATATTGTTTCTTAATATTCTCCCTGTTTCAGATAACCAAGCCTAGCGTCTTGGTGCCGTGCAGTTTCTTACCCCCTCCACCACCTCCTGCTCCAAGGCAACCTCCACCTCCTCCCCCAGGCTTAGCCACGGTGTACACCAGCCAGCTATCCAGGTCGCAGATTGAGCAGTACCAGCAACAGATGTACAGTGACGTGGACTTCGTCATGTTCCCTCTGAAGGACACGGCAATCAGCAAACAGGAGTACCTTGAGGCCAAGCAGGGGTCGCTGCTAGCTGCTCTCGCCCATCAGCCGGTGTTCTATAGGAGTACGCCGTACTTGGGTAAGAATTGTTCACTTAACAAGTATTCAGCACAACTTCTTTTACCTTCATTTGGTCGCACGCCCTGGGGTAATTTCAACAAGATTGATACACCTGAGACACTGCGACTTGCTCTGCATGTTTTTAATTTCGTAGTTATTGGAGGGAGTTCCTTCTTGAATAAATCAGCTAGAAGTAATAATGCAAGGCATTTAGTCCCCTTGTGACAGTCTAAGGTGCTTCTCTATGCACTATGTCCTGTCATACTTATAGAGGTGCGGTGTTTCATTTTCTCCGGTAAGATCGTTCTTCACTCCTATGAGGGACAAATGTCTTTCCGGTCTATAGAAACCTCTGATAATGTTGACCAGGAGCCAATCCATACTGTGCCTTGTTCATTCACCAGTCAACGGTTTTCGTTACTGTTATGGATGTCTTGGCCTGCAGTCGCCCCGATTTCCTTGACAAGTCTCCGCTGTACGGCTCTTCGTACTCCTTGATAACAGGGTCGTCAATCTTCAGGATGAATTTAGTTATCAGGAGCGCGTTGTTATAACTCTGCAGTTCTTTCTAAATCATTATTTCTTTCCTCATAGGTCGGTACGCTTCTAGCCAGAACCTGTCCGATACCTACGTGCAGCTACCCGTCTACGGCGCCCCCAGCATATCTTCCACCGGAAGTCTGGAGCCTCCACCTCCTCCGTTACCTCCCAACAGACCAGGCAGGTTCCTGCGGACCAGATCGGACGACAACATCCTCAACACTCTGGACACCTCTGCACCGAAGCACCGAAGACTTCCTCCACCACCTCCACCGCCTCCGATACCCGAAAAGCCCCACAAGAACCTTGGAGGAAGCGAGAAGCCGCCAGGAGATGCTACTACATTGGATATTCGTACGCTGAGGGAAAAGAGCAAGAAGATGGACTTGCCGCTTATATCGGCATTGTGCAATGATAGGTAGGTCGATATGGCCACAATCATGGAGTTCTTGCGATTCCAAAATCAAATCGATTATTGCAACTCCATATATGGGCGCCCACAGGGCAGGATCAGTGGGACGGTGCTCCCCTTCTGAGAATTTCATTAGCCCTCAAAATTTACATATTTTACATTTTTAGGATTTACCCCCATAAGAAAATTTGCTAACCCAGCTAAAAAAGTATTGGTGGATTATAATACACTATAAAAAAAACTTTCGGACGATCAGTACGTCAGTGTCAGTGGATTTCACGTAATTTTATACATCGCGTCCTGGCAACATGGCCATTTTTTTTTATACTCCAACTACCACGAAGGCCTAAGGCCTAAACACCCATTGGGTACCGTGGGGCTATAGGGGGATACAGGGGAAAAGGGGGGGACGCCACACGGACTCTGGCGAGGGAACACGTGTGCATGCAACATGCACACATTCTGGCTCCGCCTACGAGATCCGCCGGGTGGTACCTCTGCGTTCGACAGTCAGAGACCATCTACCACCTACGGACAATCATATCTCATGATAAATACTGACAGATCACAGTATATACTGGTCGTATGAAATTCGCTTAAGAACCAAGGAGCTTGTGAGATCCGCAACAGTTATGGACAGCGCCCGGATAGGGCGTAAGAGCAGTATTTCGGGATGACTGTTATATGGGTTTCAATAACCTCGTCCCCAATAAAATTGAGCGAATGGCCATTTGGCAATGCTCTGCCGTCCATTAGTACCAGATGCCTCCTAGTTGATAGAGTGCAGCAATACATCTTAGTATCATTGAACTTTACCATAATCCTAGGCCGTTAACTTAACTTCTCTCCAACTCAGCGACAAGCATCGGTTTAATGGCCGCATGCAAATTATAAAAAAAAACTTATTAGAACTAAAACCGATATCTGTGAAAGACTTGCGTTATTGCTGTTAGACAAAAAGAAAACCTATCAACCACAATCGATGGCTCTGGTGGGAGAGGGGCAAAGTACAGGATATCTGACCAGTAGAACACCATGTCAAAGCTAACTGAAAGCTCTAAGAATATTAAGAGCACGACATGAATCTCTCAAAACGGTTTAACATGAGTTAGTACTATACTAACCACACTACAGGACACTAGCTCAGCAGTGGTGCCCGAGATATTTCAAAGCTTCTGTTAGTGCACTTCTCCATAAGTTAGATGATGACAAAAGCAGAGCAATAACCCTCTATAATATCATTGCATGAGACATATGTATGAAAGCAAAGACGTATGCGAACAGAATCCGATAGATCAAGTAAATGTGTATTAAGATCTTTGATCATATTGAGTTTACATATAAGCCATAACAAGATGTTTCAATCATCTCGTTGACTGGAAACCTTATTTAGAAGTTGTTGAATAATTGGACTATATTTTGAAAATATTTCCAGGTCGCTGATCAAGCAAACGAAGGCGTTCGTGATGCCAAAGCCACCATGTGAGATGCCACCTCGGCAGCCGTCGAGGACCAAGTACCCGCCAATGTCGACGCTGGGCAGCACCAAGGTCAACAAACCCACGAGGAAGGCTCCCATCAGCCACCGTCATCCTGGGGACAAGCTTCCTGAGATCCCCAGGGCGACGCCTAATAACTACGTGCTGACTGATCCGCGTATCAAACATAAGACTATGCAGTCGCACTCGTGATGATGAGAGCGACAATGGGAAAATGGATGTGGTTAGTGTACTGTGTTAGTGTGCTATTTGTTAGTTCTGTCCCTGGTGTTTGAACATTCAGTACATTTTTCAAAATGGTGAATTAGTCTCTAGAGAGACGTTAAATAGACTTATCCTAAAAAAATGATACCCAAGCAACTCCGTTGCTGTAAGGTAGATATCGTGGTCGTTTCTAAAAATGCAAGGATCAAATCGGGTATTACCTTTATAAGTAAAGATAAGTCGTGCTGGACATGGCTGATAAACGAAATTATGTTTAAGAGGTTTAACATTAACACATACCTATCTTACAATGCTTCTTTAATGTTACATACATTCTCAGCTCCTGACTTTGTTTCATAATATAACACCATTTTATAGTTCTACTATCTTCTAAGCTGCATCATTTTGTTTCTATGAAACTACATTGCTAATTGCAACAAAAGGTAGCTTGTTAAGGAGACAATCAAGACCCACATCTATGACAATTTTTTGTACCATCGCTCCAACTACGTTTGGTTCAGAAATTTATAACGATATAGCTCCATAATGCAAACATATATTTACGATTTGGACCTTCACGATGACTCAATTATGTAATATAACCGCTGTGTCTTAATCACTCTATATGACTATTGTGACTATCGCAAATTTACTTATGTCAGGTACTTTTCTCTCTTATTCTACCATATACTCGTACACTACCTGGGATTTTTTACCATTTTGACCAGAGCTGTGACAGCAAGGACAGAACATATATCTGGAGATCATGTCTATGAATCGGTGGTTTTGAAAAGGTGTTATGCCGTAGTAAAGTAAATTGGAACTCCGTCTCAAAATAACTGATTCATTTTGATTATATTCCAGTGTCGAAGTAGACAGAAGGTCATGTTAACTCAGGGTGCCATCATTGCAATATTTTAATGTTAGAAAAACTCCGATGTTATGGTTTATCGAGTGCACCCATGTGGAATACATTGAAGATTTCATCAATTTTGCTGAATACATTTTTGAAAATATTATTCTGTCGTTAAGCTTTTCCTACTTTTATGATAATAACTCGTTAGTAGGAACAATATTGCGTTTTGACAGAATCCTGGAGCAACATTTTCAGACAACATAATAGAAAATACAACATATACTATTGATAAAGCGAAGGATTATTCGCATACTCAAGAATAGCTTTTACCAAACCAAAATGTATCTTCGTGTTACTCCGCTCCTATTCCAAAGCCATAGCGTTGGAGTTTTCGTACCCCCTGCATGTATATATTATCGAATACATATAATTATATTGTACCGCACGTAAAATTACGTTTTTGTATTAGCAATAGTGTATACACTTGCTCAACATTTACAATTAAAATACTGGTATTTTTAATATTGTTCAATGTTTTTATTTATTTTCAAGAATCAAAATTGTGAAAAAGCTTCAAGTGTATGGTACTGCCATCATTTTTAAATAAAGTGAAAATATCTACATATATGTTTTATTTCCAAGAATCCCTAACATGTACCCTTTAGTCGTTGGCAACTGGTATTTTAAGGTTCAACAGTAGGATGTATGACTACAAAGCTTTGTGAAAATAATTGCAAGAAATCTTGAGCCAGTTTTTAATTAAATCATTACGAAAGTTATGTACTTTGGCTCACTCTATACAATATAATTATTATAATGCATCATCTTGGTGTTATCTTGGATCCTTCTATTACCGTTGAAGAAAACTTATAAATATCTCTTACATGCAACTTGATACGTCCTCCATGCTTCTTAAGAATTAGCTTATGTGTGTATTCCTATTATACGACTTTATAAAAACCGTTGTACCTTTTGTTTGGCAATCAGATAGCTATCAACTATTGTGTGTTTGTGAGGGATCCGCCACTTCTGCCAGCCAAGGAGAGATAATCCAACATCGACGAGCGAGAAGAGGAGACCAGGGCGAAGAAGTCCACTGGCACCCGCCTGGTCACAAGAAATAACGCTGCTTGGACCAGAGGCCAATAGCAGAACCGGAAGAACTAGAAGAAGGCCGAGAATTTGGGCGCTTTCCATTATCGAAACGTCCAAAGGTCAATATCTGCGTTTTAAAAGCCAACCCGTCGAGGACGCCACCCCACAGCTAAATGTTAGAAGTTCAGGACGGACCAAGAATGGAGATTATTCTTATTTCCACTCTGTAGGTCCCTATCTTTGTTAATTCTTTCTCTTGGTGTGCACAATTCAATTTAATATTTTATTCGTTATTGATTTATAGATTTTGACTGATATATGTACTAGTATTATTGCTATTATTGACGTATATATAATTTCTACGTTCAAACTTCAATGTTGGGTGGTACAACCGGTAAAGGTAACCACTGAGATTCTGATTCTGATATCGATTTGCCCATAAGACATTCTGAACACGAAATGGCTGAGGCCACAGGTACTGAAATAATGCTTGTTAGGGATATGGTCTGCGAGTATCACGGAGGATCCAAAGATCTGCTTGATTTTATCAATAAAGGAGATCAATTTATCGGCATATTATTACCATAATCTAACGCACACTCAAATAAAAAATGATATGTCTGGACACGCTTTACTTTTAGAATTGGGACACACTATAAGCTCTATTGAAGAAGAATTACAAAAATTGACCTCAACACGTAGGAGATCTAAACGTGGCTTGGTCAATGATCTTGGCACAGTTATTAGATAGGTATATATCGGGAAATTTAGATCAAAATGATCTTACTAATATAGAAAATAATTTCCATAAATTGCACACAAACTCAGATTATAGAGCAAGTACATAATCAAATGTAATTTCAGCAAAATTGGAAAATAATATGAGTATCATTGAAAAGCGTTTATTAAATACACATGTCGCAATCAGGAATTTTAAGAAAGATACCAATAGACATGGTCATTACAAGGATTTTATTCGTTGCAACTCAGTTATATAATCATATTCGAAGTCTTGAAGTATCATTAACTTTAGCCTTGCACGGAATTCCAAATTTAAATACCTCCTCCAGTGAAGAATTAGAATTGATACAAAATCACCATTCAAAAATATATACTCCAAAGGCTTTGATAAATGTTGAAGATAACCGGCCATTTGAAATATTACAACTGAGTAAGCTAAGCATTGTGCACATCAATGATGACATCTTATGTATCTTGAAAATTCCAATACTTCGTAAACTCCCAATCTGTATTATGTACATCCATTGCCAAATAATGAAAATATTATATTAGAACCACCTATTACATTTTATTTAAGTAATGATGTAAAAGAAGCTTGGACTGACACACCCTGTAAGAAAACTGAAAAGTTTCACGTTTGCTTTCACATGCATTGCGTATTTCATGAGGTCAAAAACGACTATTTCCTTTATAAAAAATTGTGGAGCCAAAATGATCTAATTTTTGATTCAAAATCATTTCGAACCGTAGTAGAGAAAGGTGAAGAGAACGTCAAGAAAATTAACCCCATGTATTGAATAGCATATGTGATATTAACTGATGAAGACATATTTTATCTATCTAATATCAATTTTACAATTAATGAAAATTCTAGTTGCTAACCTGAACTAAATATGACAGCCAATACTACAGTTGAATTGAGCAACTATCATTTTCTAAATTTGGAAGAATTGAAAATTACTCTCAAACAAATGAAACCAATTCCTTATCAAAATCTAAATTTTTATCAAACTGGAATAATTAGCGGATTCTCCACATTTGGCTTAATTATTGTTATTGGAGTAACTTATCTTATATACAAATGTTGTCTAAAAGACTTGTTCATTGGAAAGGGTTCTGATCCTCCTGTAATAAAATAATTTTTTCTGAGACTAAAAGAAGCCGAAACGAGGACGCTTTGATCTAAGGGGGGGAAGAGCTATGTACTTTGGCTTACTCTATACAATGTAATTATTACATTGCATCATCTTGGCGTTATCTTGTATCCTTTCTATTACCGTTGTTAGAAAACTTAGAATTATCTCATACATGCAACCTGATACGTCCTCCATGCTTCTTAAGAATTAGCTTATGTGCGTATTCCTATTATACGATTTTATAAAAACCGTTGTGCTTTTTGTTTGGCAATCAGATAGCTATCAACTATTGTAGTGGTAGTTAGATTCATCAGCGGGAAATAAAAGTTATTTTTTAAAAACCCTCATTCGCCCCTGGCAAACAATTCGAAGAGTTTTTCGTAGCTTACCCAAAATTGAGCAGTTATGTGACAGAGTGGTCGAAATTATTGATATGCTAGACATTTGTAATGCAAATTATATGCAAAGTAGTGCAATTTTTGAAAGTCGTCGTTTCTTTCTTACTTCCCACGCCAACTGGCGGGCAAATATTGTTGTCACAGAAATTTTTGAAAATTAGATATGTTTTCGGGCGATATATGACATGTACATCAGGAAAAACGATGTTACTAATTTTCGTCGGTCTGCCCACAAATCTTATAACCGCCTATAACTTCAGATGTACCGTTTGCATTTCGATTAAATTTTTACAGTGTTACTACTACGCCAAGGCTGCAAAGCGAAATTCGATCCAGTGGTGGCGGAGATAGGGGCAAATACACGAAAAAAATAAAAACCGGGCAAACTTCGTTTTTTGATGTTTTAGAGGCTCCTGATCATTTTCAGAAAATTTTTTGTATGCGTTGGGAGAGGGTATATATCAGTTTTTGGCAGCAGTAGGTATATTTAACCACTTCGAACCACATTAATTTTACGCACCTATCAGTACATATTTCACATATGATAGATTTGCACACAGAGAAATATTTGTACACCCGACACGCCTTCGCAGTCGTCCGCTACGCAATCTTCATACGCTGAGCACTGTCTGCGTATATGCATCTGATTGACTCTGGCTGCATCTCGAGTTCTCTCGAGTCAGATGGTCGATACTCGCGCATGCAAAAACTAGCGTTAGCGTTATCAAATGGGTGGGGCCTGTTTAGCTGACTTCATCCATTTAATTTTGTTGTTGTAACGTATATGTTTGGGGCTAGTTTTGAGCAAAACAATCGTTTATGCAGAGATGACAACGTTGCGTGTGGAGTGCAGACTCAACCTACTTGACGCCATCATCCATTTTATACATGTTTAATCCCAACTTGTTTTATGGTTGACGGAATTAAGAGAAGATCCTTCATCAATAACATCTGACATTTATATATTTGTAGTAAAAACAATGTTGAGTTAATTAAGTACAATGACAACCGACTCTCCTGGCCACAGAGATATCTCCTTGAAAGATATGGTTCCTGGTTTTGAATTAGCCCTTGGTCCTACAACAACTTCTCCAGCATACAGTAAGGTTGATAAATCAGTGGATAACCTCTCTGATCCCAAATTGCATGCCACTACATAGGCCTTTCTTCGTGGGTACCACCTTTGTAGCACTAGGAACTCATTCTGTGCATACTTAACTTCGACATTGGCTTTATTAATGCCTTCTTTATACACAGCGTTCATATATATCGAAGGTGACTCCATTCTTAAAGCCATCATTTTGGAAATGGCATCAGTTTGTTCGAAATTATAGCTGGTAACAGCACCACCGTAGATCCACGGAAGTACGTTCAGCCTGTGGTTTGGCCAGGGCATCATAGTCAACTGGTGCAGATGTTTTATATCTTGCCTCTCTCCTTCAGTATCTGAAATTTCTTGTAAGCCTATTTCATCGCCATAGAAAATAGATGGTGTCCCAGGTAGCATGAGTTCAAGTAGAGTAGCACCTAACGTTCCATTGGCGTAAGGTAGAATGTTTGCAAGCCGTCTGGAGTAAACGTTACCAATGGACCAATGAATCCAAGGCATGCCAGGCTTAGAAAATAATGTTCCATTTTGTAAATTGAATATTTGTTTACTTACAGAAGTTGCACCTTTCGATAGGTCTATGTTGATGTCTATTAAATCTACGTTGTTCAGTAATATGTTCATTATAGGCTGTGGGCAGTTTCTGAAAAGTGCTTCATTTATCATTAATATTCTATCTTGCCCCAGAATTTTCTTCCACCTCCTCAAAGAGCTGGCTAAGTTTGGATCATTCATCATATATTCCAATCCTTTTAAATAGAAACCGTCTGCACCATTTGTGGTCCAGTGTAGTATAGCATCTTCTATAGCGTCCAAATCATCTTCTCTTGGAGTCCGCAAGAACTCATGTGGGCCAGTATCACTTTCATTCTTCAGTTCTTTTATCCTCTTATTTGATAGTCGCTTCACGTAAGGATATACAGGTAAATCCAAAACAACGGATATATTCTTTGATCTCAGATGAGTCGCCATATTTTTGAAATCTTCTAAATCTCCCAAGCTTTTAGCGATTTCTGTCAAGCTTGTGACATTATCGAAGTCCTTTGGATAATTTGGAGAATTGAAAATGGAGTTCAATCTCACAGCTCTAACTCCAAGTTTGACTAGATAATCAGCCTTGGTGGAAATACCTCTTAAGTCCCCTTCCATCTGCTGAGAACCGCTGTAGAAGCTAGCTGGAAATATTTCGTAGAAAAGATTTCCTTGGTACCACTGCGTCGGTGGATTGCAAGTTTTTGGTAATGCGGAGATCATGGCAATAACTAGAGCGACCATGGCGGCAAGTCCGGCTAGAAGAGTCCACATAGAGATCTTGCGGATTAGTGGCCAGTTCCATGACATGAAGAAATAGTTGTCTGGCGGATTCCGGAATGTCAGCTGTAGAGGCTGTGTTTTTCCATTAGCTTCCTAGAAAAAGGATATGAAATTATTTTATAGATAGTTGTAGTTTCAGTTGCACATACAGAAACAGATAACACTGATAAATACAGAATTTGTGACATGACAATTTTTGGGTGTATCTTTTTTGGGACCCTTAAATCAAATCTAAACTGAATTGTTCTATCACCCACAGATATTCGGTAACATCTACTTTTATGAATTACAATACGTAACATCTTATATTGCTGCATTTCTCGGTGTTTATGCGATGATGCACATATATAATGTTAAGACCTGTCTATTCCTGTTTATTATATGCGAGCTCTATGTTTAGAGAGCATATTGCGTTTACTGGTAGACTAATAGCAGAGGAGTCATTTACGTTTTCTGTGTTCTGAGTGCTGTTAATTTTTGTTAAAACGGTGTGTTGTTTTTAGTTTATTGTGATCGAGACTAGCTTTATGTACAATGCCTAGAAATTGTGTAAATAGTGCGAACAGTTTTTGTTATGTGTGCGGAGAGCTAACTTTTAAATCCCAAAAATGTACTTTTACTCCTCTTGTGTTGAAAGCATACGAACTTTATTTTGGAATTAAAGTTGGGGACCAAGATAAACTATGGGCCCCTCATATATGTTGTAAGACTTGTGTAACGTTGTTAACAGGTTGCTTAAGAGGCGACAATCGTAAAATTCCCTTTGCAATAATGGTTTGGAGAGAACCGAGAGACAATACTAATGATTGCTATTTTTGCCGCACAAATATTAAAGGTATTGGACCAAAATCGAAACATACCGTTAAGTATTTTAATTTACCATCGGCTGTGCGACCCGTTAAGCATAGTGATGAACTTTCTGTCCCAGTTCCACGAGAATCTTGGTCTTTGTATGGAAAAGTCGAATCCACCTATTCTGAAGGTGATGGTACCGTAAGCGTAAATATTCCGATCCTTCGTTGGACCTGCCAGGAGGTCCAACAGCGCCGCATTTGATTACACATGGCGAACTTAATGACTTAGATCGAGAATTAGATCTGTCAAAATCCCAGTCAGAACTTTTAAAAGGATGGAATCTTCTCCATTGTGATGTTAACATTACTGTTTACCGAAAACGGCAACCAGGCCTCACACACTGTTTCTGTCAAGAAAGGAAGTTGATATATTGCTCCGATGTCCACAATTTGTTTGACGCGTTAGGACAGAAACATGATACAAATGATTGGCGCCTGTTCATTGATTCATGTAAGCTTAGTTTAAAAGCGGTATTGGTACACAACGGTAATAAACATCCATCTGTACCTATAGCGCACGCAGTTCATATGAAGGAATCATATGAAAATATGCGAGTTCTGTTAGAGCATATCCATTATAATGAATATGGATGGGCCATATGTGCAGATTTTAATTTAATAGCCCTTCTTCTTGGAATGCATCTGGGATATACCAAATATTGTTGTTATCTTTGTGAATGGGACAGTCGTGCGCAAGATCGTCATTATGAACACAAGGAGTGGTATTAACTACGGGCCTCAAAAACATTGCTAGTTGATCCCAAAAACGTGTTGCTTCCACCTTTGCATATTAAATTGGGACTGATGAAAAATGGAGGAGGATTTCTGCATTCAATACAAACATTTCCGAGACTTAGTGAGGCAAACATTAAAGAGGGCATATTTGTGGGTCCACAAATACTGAAAATCATGAAGGATGATGTATTTGACAGTGCTCTAAATTAAACTGAATTACGAGCTTGGAATGCTTTTAAATCGATCACTGCAAATTTTAAGGCAATGTAAAGGCAGACAAATATAAAGATATTGTGAGTGATATGTCTTTAAAAATCACTTTTTGGATTCTCATATCGATTTTTGTTCGGAAAATTTAGGTGGGGTAAGTGATGAACATGGGGAACGGTTCCACCAAGACATTTCTGCTATGGAAAAACGGTCTCAAGGCAAATGGAGTGTCAATTTGCTTGCTGATTATTGCTGGACATTGGTAAGAGATACTTCGGGAGCAAGATATCGCCGTAAAACATCGACAACAACATTCTGAGATTAATGTTTTTCCGAGTGTTTATTAGTAATCTTTCACACATGTCCTTATATTCTACGAGTATAGGCAGTAAATAAAATGCTTTATTGCAAGAAAACCGTGGGTGATAGAAAAAATCGAATGCTATTTCCGGCTTTTTGGGTACGTTTTACATAATAACTTGTCTATGTCACAAAAAATTATTTTAATTTTGTTCACTAGTGTAATCAGTTTATTTTAATTTATGGGAACAGAACAATTCTCACACAAAGTTCGAACTTTTTCAGTTGGGATGTCTTATCGACAGCAAGAGGCGACCACAACTTGACGACAACCCGGCTCAGCATATGTATTCAAATCCTAGCACTCTCACCAAAGCAACGACGAGGGTCTCTCTTTTACAAAAGTACTAGAAATTACATGTGCAGCACTGAGAAAATGACATTTCGTAAATATGTTAATTTGTAAAAGAGTAATGAAGCACAGGAATATTTTAATCGGTGGATGTGGCCAATAAAATAACTAAAGCACATACATATGTATAGAAAAATAAGACTGGCTATCCAGTAGGATCAGTTTATTTGTTGAGGACTTATTTAGCATTAATGCTAGAATATCCATAATATCCATGTTACACAGTACATCACAATATATATTATGTCTTCAAGACTACATATTTTTATACAAAATTTCACTACTATGAATTTTATGGCTTTCCATGAGATATTTTATCACTTTTCTCTTGAACATTTTTAAACTGACACACATCTTGATATCATTATTTAATTTATTAAATCCGTACAATCACTTTTGAAATACTGACTTGCTCGTTAGATTGCTACTGCAGTTCTGTAAATGAAAGTTTATACTACCTCTAGTAGAATAACAAACTGTGATACTCATTGTTCAGTAGAGTAACATTTTGTAAGTGATTTGGTAGAAGATGATTTTTTAACTTGAATATGAAAATGAAAACCAAGTAGGTTATTAAGTTTTTGATATTTATCCATTGTAGTTCTTTCAGCATAAAACTTATTCTAGTATATTTATTTTTTCTTAAAATGATTCTCATAGCTTTAGTTTGCAATATTTGTAATTTTGTAAATACAGTTTCGTTTGCAATGAACAAAATAGTCGAACAATGTAACAAATGAGGAAGAATGATAGTATTTATTGTACACAATGTTTTTAGAATAAACGCTTAGGCTAGGCGAAATTCTATAAAAGTAATTTGTCTCCTTAGATATTTTTGAAATTATGTATTCATAGTACCCTTCAAATTTCAATTTACTATCTACGTATATGCCCAAATATTTAAATGATTCGATTGACACAATGTTTTTATTATTAATCGAAATATTTATCGTATTTTTATCTAAAGATTTTCCTGTTAGCACATATTTTGTTGTTTAATTTGACTTTATTCACGTTTAACCAATTTATTACGATTTTCACATTATTTGACAGCTCTATTGCAGTATCAATGTCTTTATTTGATATATGTATTATTGTGTCATCAGCAAATAGTTAAATTTTGCAGTGTTGTTAAACATCAGGAATATCGTTAATATATAAAATAAATAGTAATGGACCTAGTTTGCTACCCTGTGGCATACCTACCGAAATGTTTTTAATGCTTGATAATGTATTGCCAAGTTTAGTTCTTTAATTAAATAATTTTGTAATATGTTTTGTAATTTGCTACCCTGTGGCATATCTACCGAAATGTTTTTAATGCTTGATAATGTATTGCCAAGTTTATGAAGAGCGCAGAGTAAGCGTATCACACTCCACCAGCTTTCAAGAATCAGGGAGAATAGATTTGGGATCGATTTTGGAGTCAAAGTAATTGGGGCTTTTGAAATCCAGGTCAAGCTAACGGTTATTTAAGATTGCAAGTATCTAACAGATTGTAATACTCGTTACAACAGAAATGAGTGGGTCTGGACACTGGAATGAATTTTGAATGAAGGGGTGGGGCTTCATAGCATGAGGCCTCATAGCCAGATCTTTCAGCGGACCTACGAGTATACGCAAGCCTTGTGTATAAAGTGTCATGGTCTATGAACAAGTTGCTTCGCGAACCAAGTAGCCGTCAAGGCAATTAGGACTCGGAAGTTGATGATAAGATTTTCCAAATTGAGAGGGGTTCTTGATGATATAGCTACAAAATACCAAATAGTGTTACACCCAGAAAAAATAATTCCTTCATCTTGATTTTTTGGTAATGAGGTAGGCTTACATCAAGAATGAAGCGATAACATTTCACGAAATTTTATTAACAAGTAACAACAAAAAAAAAATAATGCGTTGGGTGACTCCGCAGCTGAATACACTCCTGTATACATCTAGGCCCGGCAAAATGAGATGATCGATGTCTGGTTGTGCCACCTTATTCCAAACAGCTCGAACTTCGTGGATTAGCTGTGGCAGAGTCTATGGCGGATGGTGCAAAGTGGATAGTCTCCTCCTCATCATATCCCAAACATGTTCGACGGTATTTAAATCCGGTTGAGGGGGTGGCCACCGCAAAGCATTAGGCCTGCTTCTTGAAGGACGTGTGGATGGCCTTTTAGATACCGCAGTAAAGTAGTTTGTAGGACATCCTCAACATAATGCGCAGCATATTATATATATTGGCTTGAACAAAGAGAAGAGGTGATCGGCTACCATAGGAAATAGCTCCCCAAACCATTACTCCAACAGTCCTGTGTACTTGCCTCTCAACAGCAAATCCAATATCACGCCGTCCTCCACGGCGGCGTCTTACCTTTCTACGACCATCGTGCGTACCTATACAGAACCGCGATTTGTCGCTGATGATGACATCATGCCATTCTGCCTCACAATGTTGCCTTTCTCTGCTCCAGTTCAAACGCTGATGACAGTGGTTCGCAGTCAGGGGAAGCACTTCCCGTGAACGGTATGAAAAAAGTCCAAAGGCTCGAATACGGCGATAGAGTGTACGCAGAGTAACAGGTGTACCTTCTTCAAAG